CAACTTGAGAAAATGCTCCTTTACCAATTACTTTAATGATTTCGACCTGCTCTCGATTAATTTCCCAGCTTCGCGTTGAGGGATGAAGAGGCATGTAGTCTCCGGTGCTAGCGACTTCATAGGTTGCAGAGTCACCAGACGGAATCATGCTGGAGGACTGTTTATCGGTTTCCATAGGCATTGGATTCTAGTGTGGAAAGACAAGATGAACATTGTTTGTTATCCAATATTCTCTGTGTTAATTACTTTTATGCGATGAATATTATAATGTCTTTTGTTGTTGTTTGTTTAAAAGGAAAACAAAATGTATAGACTTTTCTACTTTAAAGAAGGAGTCTTTCTTTTTTCGCCTCAATTTAACCCAAAGTGTTGAACTATGGAACCAACTTGTAGCAACATCTCCATTCGTATCAGTATAAACTGTCTCCTATACGCTATGCACGTGTTTTTACTTACCAAGGCAATAAGCTCTCCGCCGCATCCTGTGCATATATTCCTTCTGAAATAAATAAAGATTCTCACTATGTTTTATATTTTTGAACTTCAATTAATTTATATTACTAAAGAACTATAAGCTTTTCTGTGCGCAGGAAACGTTATAGATGCACAGATCACATTAAAACAACGTAAGAACAATATTGAGGGTCATTGAAGTTGTTAACACATTTTAATACCAGCTTTGTCTATAAAATATAACAGAGTGAAGCAAAGGAGCATCGGTGTGTCGTAGAGGCGCCAGGATGGCGTTTGCAAGGAAAAGACTGCTTTACTGGCCATTGTGAGATTAATTAATAGGTATTTTTTCTGAAAATGAATAAAACTACTTATCAGCACTATGTAGCAGAAGTTAAGAAAAGAAAATTTCAAGAAAGAGAATGATACTTTAAAGTTTGGAAAAACTGTTTTGGAATTAATGCACAAAGCTTTTCAAAATTGCTTTAAAAACATTAAGAGCCAAACAAGAAACAAACAGATAAACAACAACAACAAAAAACAAGTACAAGTTTGACATGCTGAATTTTAATTTGGTTGAAATGATTTGTATTGAATTACACAGTTACCAAAACACTGATCGTTCTAATTCTGAACTAAATATACAGTATCTTATTAGACATTTTAGTGTGAAGTATCGCTGTATATATTTACGAGTATTTGGCGAGCACGTAGGGCGAGTCAAAATGCAAATGACGAGTAAAACTGTACAGCGATACTACCACACATATCGTGACATATTTGTACTCTTTTCGCATGTTATTTGTTTTGAAATGAGCGGAGGTGGAAAATAAATACATGTAATTAAGTGCGTTGACGTGGTCAAAACAATGTTGATTGTACCGTCTTACTGTTACTTCAGTAAGTCCATTTATAGATGATTGAATTTTACTCACCGACTTGTTTTTGATATCACTGAAATGAGAAAAAACGAAATGAAAAGTATGAACTTCGATGAAATTTGTTCTACAATGTTGGGACAATGGTCAAGTGAACATTATAATGTAGAGGAAAGGTTAATTATTTTTAATTTCATTATTTTTTTCAACGACCGTGTATAAGGGTAAGACCCAATAGTAAGCCCATATATGAAGATTTCGTCTTAATCTGAACGCGCCAAGTGCGCCCACGTTTAATTTTCGGCCGACGTAACTTGTGCATAGTAAAAACAGGAAGAAAGAAGTCTTAGCTTAGTCGAAAGAAAACAACTCTGTGTTTCAATTAAAGGAAGAAGCCAAAGATTATGACTACTTTTAATTAATTGACATTCTTTAGTACGTGCAGAATATGGTATCAGAAGCCATTCTGATTGGATAGTATGCGCGCACAAAAGAATGTGAAGTAATTAAAAGTGGTAACACTTTTGGGCTCCTTGTTGTAAAGCAGCCAGTATTAACTTAACCAGTATTAACTTATCAAATTGCGCTCATTTGTTGCCTAAATATATCGCAGCAAGAGAATCTTCTCTTGATCGCAGTTTTTTTTTATGCAGAAAAGTCTTTATTAAGTGTCAACTTGGTCTAACATTTCTGCTAATTGGGGATATTATTTTCAACAAGAATGGATTATGATGTAAAATAGATTAATTTTAAAAGCAAACATCAACGCTTAGTATATCAAGCAAATATTCCCTGAATGTCACTTACCAGAACGCCTGCGCATTTTCCAGATGACGACACCCAGAATGAGATTAATTATCAGCGAAAGGATGATGAGACTGACGTAAACAGCGTGAAGAATATTATTTTCTTTGTCACAAGAAGAACCTGAAATGTACGAGGCAAAATCAGTTACTGAACATGCGTTGATGAAAAACAAAGGGCAAGTGCTTGGTATGACATCTCATAACAGGAAGCTTAAAAAGCTTACACCTGGGTTTTGAATTCCACCGCTTTCTTGCTCTTAAAACACGGCTCTCAGTTACTGAGCTGTCACGCGAGTCACCTTTATGTCTGTGGTTTGCCTGATTCACAGCAGATAAAGCCGAGGTAATTCCCCCATGAATGACGTAGTTGTTAAATGTAATTGTACTTGTGCGTTGTCAGCAAATATTTACTATCCGTTCTGACTAAAAAGTAAACAAAAAATTCATTTCTCGTTTAAAAAAGAACAGCACATCGCAGGTACCGATGAAATCTTAAGGAAACTCAAGCTTCTCATAAAGTCGTTAACAATCATCCAGTTACTCCCCGTACAAGCTCAAACACACTATAAATTTACGCAGTCACACGACACACTACAACGACTTGTTGCGTTAAATCAATTTATTTAACTGAACTCAGCTAAAATGGACACTTAAAATGTTTCGCATACCCAACATTCATAAAACCCAAGTTCATCAAACGTGTATAATCAAAATAACTACAGGAAATTTAACACACCAAAGTAAAATTATTTGGCGCGAGTCACGTTAATGTATGTGGTTTTCGTGATTCGTAGCAGTTGGTAATCCCCCCGTGAATGACGTAGGTTGTTAAATTTAATCATGTCTCGCGTTGTCAACAAATATCTACTTTTCGTTTCGATTAAAAATAAACATTTCATTTACTCATCTCCTTGAATTAAATTATTGTTGTACGGCGTTGTAAATATTAATTTGTTTTCCGTTCCAACTAAAAAGTAGACAAGAAATTCGTTTCTCATTAGAAAAAGAGCACTGTTTTAGGAAAATTTCACATACGTTTGGCTCAAGTAAGTTCCAAGTTCGTCAAACGTGTACGTATAATTCTAATAACTGCATCAAATTTAACATACCAAGCTGACATTGCTCGGAGTTAAGACGTGATTGAAAATGCTGTGTTACGCGAAATGCACTCTGCCCCAGCTCTCATTCTCCCGGTTTGGTCGAGTGACGCGACCGAGGCATTTAGTCACCCACACAAAACAAAAACACGTCCGGATTAATATTACATACCTGTCGTGCCGCGGGACTGTTGATCTCCACCATTGATATCTATGAAAGACTTGATCGGTTAGAAGCGAAATATTTGTTGTGTGTTTGCCCTTTTTACTCATTAATCATTTTATAATTTCGATAGGAGATCCACGTTAAAAATAATGACAATTAAGTGTATAACTGAAAGGGAGAAGGTAGTGGTGGTTATCAGTAGAAATTAAAAAAATAGAAAATGAATAACAAGTATGGATCGCATTGCAATTTCTTGCTCTTCAATGACCTACAATCGCGAAGTTATTAAAGTAGTGCGAATAAGTTTTATTTTGAACTGAACTATGAAACAAAGACAAACATCTCTATCGGGAAAAATAGTTGTTATAATCTTGAGGGAGAAAACTTTAAGACGTTTACTTGTCTCATCAGATATATTACTAAGCGCTTGGAGTACTTCAAATAGAAGCACTTCAACCATTCCGTTACCAAGGAGATTGTTAATGGAAATTAAACAGCTTCAACAAACAAATAAAAATAAAATTCAAGTTAAATAAACACCGGACACCAAAAATATTCAAGATAATACTGTATAACCTTCTAATGTCTTGACTCTCTTGATCTTTCCATCTTCTTTAAAACTTTCACCAAGTTCGTTTGTTGCAGTAACTCCAAATTCGTACACCTTGCCTTTCTTCAACTTAACTTTCAATTCTCTAACTGAGATATCTGTAATGGTCTTTAGCCTGGTCCACTCTCCTGGTTTACCATCAGTCACTATTCTTTGGTACACAGTGTACATTGTGATTACTTTTCCATTGTTTTGTGGTTCCCTCCACTTCAGTGTAATTGTATCTTCCTTTATTTCACTGGGCAGGTCGTATATTTCCGCTGCAGCTGGGACTCCTGTGGTTAACCAAAACATCATAATAACTTGTTTATTTTAGCTGCATATGTGAAGCCAATAGGCTATTTCTGAGTTCTCTTTGCCTTTGTTTCAAAATGGCTGTGGAAAACTTATTGATTTCCACGACCATCAACTTGAGTAAAACTAATATGAAAGGTTTTGTATACGTACCAGACCATATTATGAAACAGCGGCTAAAGAGAACTCAGAACAATTAGCCTATTGTATGGTTCTTTTTGACTGCACGGTCTTTCCTAAACCTGATTATTAATGACATATTTCCCTTAAATCTTCAAAATGCGTTGGCCTTTGTAACAGGCAATAATATATCAACAAAAATAAACGCGTAGGAGTGCACGGTGATTACGATATAAAATGAAAGGAAATTTACTTCTTATTTCTTAAAATTACTAATAATACACTTTGATTGATTGATTGGCTAGTTAGTTAGTTAGTTAGTTAGTTTGTTTATATATTTATTTATTTATTTACCTGGAACAAATCCAGCTAGTGAGAGAATGGAGGACTTAAACTCGGAACATCTCGATTACACGAGCAGCGCCCTAAACCACTAGGCCACACGGCTTTTGTGGCATGAGAAACAGACAGCGAGTATAGTAATAAATGTAAAGGTGGTAAATGTTAAGCCTGGTAATACTGTAGTACGTAACTGTATTCAGTTTGTCACGAGTGTGGGACAAAGAAAAAAATCTGACTCCCCGACGGGTTTTGAACCCATGACCTTCCGTACACCAGTCGGATGCTCTAATCACTGACCTGCGAGTAT